TATCTGTGAGCTCTGTGTGGCCACTGCAGTGAATTACTGAGCCCAGCAGCGAAGTGGTGAGTGTCCCACAAGAGGGACAGTTGGTGTCAAGGTTGGTAAGTCGGCTGGAGGGTGGCAGCATGTCTGGTCTCAGAGGAACAAGCCTTGGGCTGCTGATGGTGATTCTTCCTCTTGTGTAGTTAGAGGAGGTTAGAAGATGCCACCTCCTTGCCCCTTTAGCAGTTGGTGTCAGAAGTGGGGTTCGTTGCCCTGGCTCCAGACTCACAGAAGCATGGGCCTTTGTAAAAGAAAGAAGAAAGGGGCCTGGGAAATGAAACTTTGGATTCTTAGATTGTTACTTTGGTTGGTGTTACCTGTAACGGCAGAATATAGAGACATTATGCTGCAGCCCAGGGGAGAAAGGCCTGAGGCAAGAGCCAAGCCAATTAAAGGAGATAATTGATCCAAAAGGTAGGGCTTTTGGTTACACCCACCTAAAGGCCCAAGGCCATACACACAGAATGGGAAGATTATCAGGATTAAGAGATTAAACTGGAATGTCTTAAATAGGATTATGTGTTTTGGATTATGTATTTATCTGAATGTACTATGCGTATTGAATGTTCTATTACCTACATGTATGTTAGAAATTATTATGGGGATGGATATTAGAGGGCATGTAAGTCCACATTTAGCCAAAACTTGACTTGATGTGTTAAAAGGGGAAATAGAATTTGCCCAGAAGAAACACAGGTTTTTGTTTCAAACCCTGCATCCAGAATATAGGGGGCTTAGGCAGAAAACCTGAGCCCCACCCAGAACCTGCTGAGAGAGGAAATTTGCATTTGAAGACAGGACATGCAGGAAAAAATAATAATAATGTCCAGCAAGCAGTTAGGCTTTGGGTGCATCAAAATCATGACCCATGAGAGAAACTCCTTCCAAGACTGGAAGTTAAAGGGAGCTTGTGAGTAGATGGCCCTGTATGCTGCTCACATGTGACCACTTGGGTCCACTTGAAGAGTGAAAATGAGGGAAGTGCAGCAATGAAGAAAGTGGCTGAGTTTGGTACTCTTTGACCTAGGCCATGGAGGCTTAGGATGAGAGGAAGGGCTGGCTTCTCTGAAGTGCAAGGAGTTGTGTGGAACCTACAGGCACTGAACTAGTCCCTGAGGACTAAGGATGAGAGAAAGAGGGTGCTGGCTGGTATGAAGTAAAGGGAGGAGTGTGGCTCCCAAACTTGGCAGCTGGAACCCATGACCTAGCTGGGATGTCTAGAGCTGAGCTGACCAGAATCCGAAAAAACTAAGAGAAAAATGTTTGACACTGAGCTGATGGCTTGCACTGGGCTAGACTTTGCTTATTTACGGATGCAGATACCCAAAGTTCCAAGCAGAACAGAAAATTCTTCCAAGAGAAAGGAACATGCTTGTCTCCTCAGTACTAGTTTGATGTTGTTGTTGTTGTTATGTGCCATTGAGTCGGACCTGACTCACAGTGACCCCTCCTTGGGTTTCCAAGGCAGTATCACTATGGAAGTAGATTGCCCAGCAAATTAGAAATTGGCTATCTAAAATGTGTGTGTGTGTGTTGGGGGGGTTAAAAGCATGAAGTGGCTAGCTTACACACGTTCATGGGTGTGGTTATTCTTAAATTGATTGGGAAGGGGATGTTAATTTTTGAAGTATAAAAGGGATGATGGCTAGAAAAGCCAGGAGGTGGCCTACAGTGTAGTGAGTTGCATGGTATGGCTTTTCTAGCCATAGTCTTTGTAACTCCCACTGGATTATTGGGTGGAACAATACAAATATATGTCTACTTGGCTGGGAAGCTGGTAGTAGTTACTTCCTATAATGAAACTCTCACTGCTGTCGAATCGGTCCCGACTCATAACAACCCCTCCTTGGGTTTCTGAGGCAGCATCTCTATGGATGTAGATTTCTGAGTCTTCCTTCTGAGGAATGGCTTGTGGGTTTGAACCACCAGCCTTCTGGTTAGCAGTCAAATGCCTTAGAATCTATGCCACCAGAGCTCTCTGTGGTGGAATTTGCTGTAAACAACTGAGTAGCTGCTTTGAAACTCCTGATTGTTAAAGTTATCCACCTGGGGTATTTCTGTTGGAGCATGATGAAGTAATCTTCTGGGAAAGTTCACTCTTTCTCAGGTGTGTAGAACTCTGATGTTTATATATTATCTCATGGCAGTAGTTTCAGTGATTCAGCCAGCCCCTTCCTCCAGAAAGTCTGGAAACCGTTGTTGTTGTTGTTGTTGTTTGCTGTCGAGTTGGCCCCGACTCATAGCGACCCCTCCTTGGGTTTCCAAGGCAGTATCACTACGGAAGTAGGATTGCCCAACCTTCCTTCCGAGGAGTGGCTGGTGGGTTTGAACCGCCAGCCTTCTGGTGAGCAGTCAAGTGCCTTAGGCACTATGCTAATAGAAACTGTAAGAATTTGAAATTTTGTTCTGCATATTTCCCCTTTTGATCAGGATTCTTCTATAGAATCTTTGATCAAAAGGTTAAGTAATGGTTGCCAGGCAACATTCAATTCTGGTCTCATGCAAAAAGGAAAAATTGTTCATGGAGATAATTAGCCGTATATTCATATCCTCCTCCTATTCTAACTCTCCTATTTCCACTGTTGCAGTAGGCAAATAAGACCAATGGTTGTGCCTTGAATGGCTTCTTGTGAACTTTTACAACCCTAAACACTATGCAATAAACTAGAAGGTAGAACAGACACACTAAACATATTATTAGACCAATTGATTGAGATGTCCCATGAAACCATGGCCCTAACCTTCCAAACCAAGGAACCAAATCCCATGAGGATTTTGTTTGCACATAAGCAGTCTCAGCAGCTACTTTTTTTTTTTGTCATTACTGTAATTATATATATCATAAAATTTTTCCCAGTTCAACTTTTTACAAATGTACAACTTATTCACAGCAATTACAATAATTGACTGTGCAGCCTTACCCTTTATCAATACAATTTTTCTATCACCAGAACCCTTTTCCTCCTCCCTTCCACCCCTGGTAACCACTAGAGAAACTTTGGGCTTTATACATTTGCCTTCTCTTCTTATGTAAGAGAGGCCATACAATCAATATGTGTTCTTCTGTGAATGACTTATTTCACTGAACATAATATCTTCAAGCTCCATCTATATTATAGCATGTATCAAGACTTCGTTTTGTCTACTGGCTACTGTATGCATGGTAAACATTTTGTTTATCAATTCATCTGCTGATAGGCTGTATTAGTTAAGATTATGTGTTAGTTTGGCTGGGCCTGGTTTTGAGTGTCTGGGCAGCTGAATGTAGTTATTACCCATGGGGAGATTGGCAATCAACTAGATGGTGAAATCTACTGTAGCAGCTGAGTAGCTGCCTTAGGGATGTGGTCTGCTTCCAGTATATAAGAAGATTTGGGAAGGGTCTGCAGCTTTTTGGCACACTTGGACCCTGCATCTGGCTATCTTTATCTCAGTGGCCTGCCATGTCGTCTGCCGATCTTGGAACTGTTGATGGACTTGAATCAGTGACCTGTCATGTAGTTTGGTAATATTGGGACTGTGCCTTTTCCTTGTCAACCTTGTGTTTGTCAGCCTCAGCAGCCAGGACCTGCCTGAGTGAAAAAAGCCTCCAGCTTCAGTGGGCCAGAAGAGAGAGGCAAAGCTGAAGTCCAAGGTTGAGGGGCTTTCAACCAATCCCTAGAGCCTGGTACTTTGAACTCAGACATAAAGCCTCCCAAACTATCAGAGAATAAACTCCTGTTTGTTAAAGCCATCCACCTGTGGTATTTCTGTTAGAGCAGCAGGAAGTAATCAAAACACAGGTACTTAGATTGTTTCCACCTTTTGGCTTTTGTGAATAGTGCTGCAATGAACATTGGTGTATAAGTCTCTGACTGCTTTCAAGTCTTTTGGCTATATACCTAGGAATGGAATTGCTGGGTCATATGGTAGTTCTACTTTCAGTTTTTTTATGAATCAGCACACTGTTTTCCACAATGGCTACACCATTTTGCATTCCCACTAGCAATGGGTAAGCGTTTCAATATCCCCACATCCTTGCCAACATTTTTTATTTTCTGTTTTTATTTTTAATGTTAGCTCTGGTGGCATAGTGCCTAAGGCATTTGACTGCTAACCAGAAGGCTGGTGGTTCAAACCCACAAGCCACTCCTCAGAAGGAAGATTGGGCAATCTACTTCCATAGTGATTTTACCTCATAAACCCAAGGAGGGGTCATTATGAGTCAGATCCAACTCAACAACAGTGAGTTTGAGAGTTTTGAGATCCTAATGGGAGTGAAATGGTATCTCATTGTGGTTTTGATTTATATCTCTCTGATGGCTAATGACATTGAGCATCTTTTTATATGTTTGGTGGCCATTTAAATGTCCTTTTTGTTGAAATGGCTATTCATATCCTGTGCCCATTTTATGATAGGGTTGTATTTTTGTTGTTGTCAAAGTTTTATGTATATTTTGGTTACCAGATTCTTTTTGTAGATATGGTTTCCAAAGATATCCCAGTCAGTAGCTTAACTTTTCACATTTTTGGTAAAGTCTTTTGATGAAAAAAATTTTATCATTTTTATGAGGTCATATTTATTTATTTTTATTTTGCTGTTTGTGCTATTGTTATTACATAAGATAATTCATTGTTAAAATCCCAATATTTGGTTTTCTTTTGCTTACCCTCATGTTTCAGCTCACTGTTTGCATTATTTTATACTCTTTTTCCTTCTCCTTTATTTGTTAAAGAATTTTCCATGTTTGTTTCTTCTAGCTGATAAAGAACTTGGTGAGATCCTTTGTTTTCTCTGAAACTTCTTATCAGCCAAGCACAAGAAGTTCATAGGAACAAGTATGTCAAAAATAATTCAGTATGGAAGATCAAGAAATATCAATAACTCACAGGAAATAGTTATCAGAGACATGAAACTTATGGACGGTGAGAAAAACAAAAGTAATTTAACATATCTCTAAAAGAGTTAGCCCAACTTCATTTACCTGGGAAGGTCATGGATATGAAACTTTTAAAATCCTCTAGTGCATCCTTATCTGTGTCAGGCTTGACCTTGACCTTCAGGATGTAAAAATGGCCAAACTTGTTCTTCAGGTGCTGAGGGCTGCCCAAGCACACAAACTTCCCCTTCACCATAATGGCCAACCTGGTACAAAGGGCTTCACATTCCTCCATACTGGCAAAACAAGATACCAGAACAATGTAAGGTATCAAGTTCTCCTTTGGAGGACATTCTATAGTTCATACAGTGCACAGATTCTGTGACTTTGCAATGGGATGTTGCATTTGCCCATTTTTAGGCTCATAACTGGGATGTGGAAAGATTTCAAATGGTAAGTAGTAGAGGATCAAATACCCAAAAGGAACATTTCTTGCACTTCCTGCTCTAATTCTTAATTATTTAGTTCACTGGGGATTCTTGGCTGTTCCATTCATTAGGATCAATGAGGAACTCACATACTCAGGCAAGTTTCACTGTCCAATATCCCTGGCCCAAAATAATTCCCTCTTACTGTCACTGTAACTCCTGCTAGTTCTCAATCACACCTCCCAATGAGCTGTACCTGTGGGAGGTTATAACGATGGCTTTGCCAGTTTCACGTATCTTTGTTACTAGATTCCAGACCAGGCGCCGAGCTATTGGGTCCATGCCTGTTGATGGCTCATCCAGGAAGACGACTGAGGGCTTTCCCATTAAGGCAATAGCAGTACTCACTCTACGTTTGTTTCCTCCACTTCATGGTCAAGGAAGGAGAGAAAAAATGGGAAGGAAAATAGTTATTTACATGAAAGAATTAACACAATCATTCATAATTCTGAGAGTCCCAGAAAACACATAATATGGACATCTATGATGCTGGCTAGATGTAGCTTTAACAAGGTAGCAGGCCCAAGGAAAGGTATATATACTGATTCATTTTTATTTAGAATGTGGAGGAGCAACTTATGTTTATGTAACTTATTTCAGCAGCATTATCAGTGGCATTTAGTTACTTCTTCTCGGGGTGTCATGGGTTTCCCATATACATGAGAAGCATAGTAATTGAAAGAGACTCACAGTTCTCCTTACATGGGAGACAAATAACCATAGGAGACTATGAAGAAGATGCTTCCTTTGGAGGTTTAAAGGCTGCAATTCAAAGAGAACTAGGATTTTGAGTTTCATCTCTGCAAAGGGAAAATATGAAACTCTATTGATTTGCCTTATTACTGACATCTGAAACCTAACAAGGCACTAGACAATGTCACAATTAGATAACACTGTAACAGAAGGGCCTACATAGCACTGTGGGCATTGTGTCAAACATCAGGAACATAAAGAGGCATTTCAACATAAAAGAGCATCAATATAATGTCTTACCTGTAGGTGTAGATAAGCTTGTCAGCATGGGACTCCAGATGTAGTGAGCTCAGCCAGTGGTTCACATACAGGTGAATCTGGTGCTCAGAGACTCCCCATATTCTGGCATACATGATCAGTGTTTCCCTGCCAGTCATGTACTCCAGCAAAGCATCTTGTTGAGGACAATAGCCAATTCTTGACCTCACCTGATTAGGAGAACTGCCATAAGTTGTCTATCCCTGTGAGCATCCATGGATGAGATAAAATACTTGAATTCTTCCAGGTGACATTGAAACCCAGTAAAGTAAAAACCATTTTCCCCCACGCTGGCACCCCCCACCCTGACACCCAATGGGGATAGATAAGTAAACTAAATTACTCCCAACTATTTTCCCACCCCTGGGCAGATGAGCATTCAGTTCCAAAGAACTGAATGGAAAACATTCCTTCCTGCAGATGATAGACTTGCTAAAAGTATTTTAGAAATAACTTGTAAATTAACTCTGGCCACTGACAATAGAAATGTTTTAGAAACAACTTGTAAATGAACTCTGGCCCAGGGACATAAGGGAACAAAAGTTAATTGCTGACCCTCTCCCCTCTGCCCAAGCCCCTATCAGCTGATAACAAGAAACTAAGGACTCATCCCTAAGTCACCCATTTCATGTTCACACCCCAAATTCCTCAACCTTTTGTGAATATGCACAACCCCCTCCCCTAAAACCTACAAAAACTGTGTTTGATGGCATCTCAGGGAGTTAAGATCTGGGTACTAATTACCCTAACTCCTTGCACTGCTGCTTTGCAATAAATAATTTTCTCTCCTCTCAATCTCCGTGTGTAAACTGTTTTGGCCTGACTTCGCACATCCAAGGACCCCCTCATAGGCACTTTACTGCTAACCAGAAGCCACCAGCCACTTCTCAGAAGGAAGGTTGGGCAATCGATTTCCCTAGTGATACTGTCTCAGAAACCCAAGGAGGGATCACTAAGAGTCGGGTCAGACTCAAGGGCACATAATAACAACAACAACAATGGCTACAAAATGCCATCCAATGAAGCTTATTGAAGTAAATTAGGAATAATATTTCTTCTAATTCAATTTTGCTGATCTTAGTGATGAAGAAAGTAGAAATAAAATTCCAGAACCCTCTCAATTCAAGGGACTCTAATATGAGATGCTTTCTTCATTAGTCAGGAACTCCATGGATATTTTTGCATGTGTAGGCCTTTTTCACAGTAACATAGAACCAGAAGCAAAACCTTTCCCTACCCCCACTCCCAAGAAACTACATGGAGTGTTATTTTGGCAATTACCCAAAACCTTCTATGGATTTCCATTCAAGTGTACATAACTTACTTAGCTAGTAAGAAAAAACGTTTATGAATGTAATGTAATTAAATTAATTAATTAACAATAATCCCCAACTATTCATATCCCTAGACTCTTGACAGAAGTAACTTAAATCCTCTCTACACTAGGTATCAAATTATTCTTGCATATAATTTTTAAAGGAAAATAAGCGTCATGCAAAGATAACCAAGTGAAGAAGGAAATACGATACCATGAATGACACTGGCAGAAACAATAGTCAACAGAAATAAATTTGTAATTTCAGATATTGGGATTGGCAGAACAAATGCTTACTGTGCTTAACTAAATTTAAAAATCTTAAAAATGTCTTCATGAAAGTGGAAAGTATAAACAGTCACCTAGAAATTGTGTAAATGAATAAAATATAACATCAAAATATTTAAAAAGCATGTCATGTTACAAGCTTTCTGAGTGGGTCTGACAACAGATTAGTCACAACAGAAGAAACAATACTTAGCTTAGAATAAATCATAAGAAAGCACCTAGAATACATCACAAAAAAAATAAAAAGAAACTATGGAAATGATATTGAGAGATAAGGATGACAGACTGAGCAATGTAACATATAGATAATAGGAGGGAAGGAGGAAGCTAGTGAGTTGCCACTGAGTCAGCTTTGACTCACAGCACACACAGGACAAAACGTTGCCTGGTTCTGCACCATCTTCACAATCATAGCTATGGTTGAG